TTCGATTTTGGCAGCCTGCATAGACTAAGACAATAGTCCTCACAGATTTCCTGTAAATCAAAAAAAGGGTAGAAATAAGTCAGAAACAACCAGCAATCAACCACAGGTCTCACTGGTAGAAGGATCAATCTCTTATTTCTTGGGAATCCTGCCGAGTGAGGACCAAGGGGGGTTATAGGCGTCTGCTTGAGCTTCGTATTTAGACCTGAAACATCTAAAGGCCTCTTTCAGTCTCTGGAAAGGGAAGCAGGGGACAGTGCCACATCCCCATGGCCCTCCTGTGCCCACTTCTAGAGACCAGAAACCTCTTCAAGCCACAGTGTGGCTGGGTGTGCTTCCAATGGCTTTTAACAAGAAGAGAAACCTGATAGAAAAAAGAGTTTCAGCTTACCCCATGGCTGTCCAGTTGGAGGGTCTGTGGTTATTTGGGTGTGGGGTAGAGTGTGCATTTAGGTGTCGTCCCAGTTTTCCTGAAACCCACTCCTCTTCACCTCTTTACCAACTGGGAGCCATGCAACCAAATGCTCATTTTTCTTAATTAAATATATGACAGTTTTTAAAAATGACTTCTCTTTCCATTCTAATTAGATGTTAGTGATGCTGCTTTCTCTAATTACCACATATCTTCCTTCTGAAGACTATATTTATATATATATATAAAACTATATGTGTATTTATATGCACACATGCATATATGTGTGAACATATGCATGTGCATATATATATACACACACACACATATATATACACACACATATATATAAAATTGAAATTTTAATAACCTGCCTCTTGGGAGAATGCATCGTTGATTAAAAATACCCCTGCCTTGGGTTGGTGGTGGTTTTCTGAGATTTCAATTTCAATAGCTTCTTCCATATTAGGCTGCTTTCATCTCTGAGGAAATAATTATATCCAGGTTTGGCTTTGTTCAATGGGGCATGACTACACCAGAATGGGTCTCTTCCTGAACAGAAAAAGAAAATTGAAAGGAAAAAAATATATATAAAGGCCTGACACGCCAAACCCCAAATTATCTAAATCCATTTTCAATAAAAAGCTTGGTGGCTTGGTGAAGACATGATGACTTTTGAAGGCAAAATCCGTTGAAAAATCCCATTTCCCATGCTGTAAGTTTAGGAGAATAAATTGCACTCAGGGAGGAGGGGGAAGCGCCTCTCGACACGTAATAAAGCAGGTGGCCTCATTTGAATTTTCCCATTAGGACTCCTGGAGCGATCTCAGAAATATGTTGGCCTTGCACATTGTAACTCAGCCTTGGCTCTCTGACTCCAGGACTCACACAGTTTTTCATGCAGCAGAATTAGAGTCTGGATTACTTGAAATGTCCAGCAGGAAGTTATTTGTTACCATGTTGGGTTTCCTATTTGCCATAGAATATTAAATAGGTTTCTCATTTTCCACAGAATATGAATAATCTGGCTTGCCGATGGGCAAGTGCCTTCCCTCCCAACCACTCTTTTCTTTTGTTCCTTTCTTTCTGTGTTCACACCATGGGATCAGTGGGGATGCTTCCATCACGCATGCAGAGAGGGGCTTTCTAGATGCAGCATCTGGTACTGATGGGCTTACAATGGAAGTCAACCATAACCAGCCCAAATGGAGGCATGGCCAGGAGAGGTGGGATGAAGTGGGTCATGGAGAGTCTGCTACATCCTTTTGTTCATTCCACAAATGAATATTGAAGGAACTGAAACAATATAACAAACACAGTCCCTGTCCTCATGTGGCATATGATCAGAAGAGACCTGACAAAGTAATGAGGCAAACATAAATTCATTCTAATTTTGAAAAGTGTTCTGAAAGAGAAGAAGGCAGATCAGAGAAACTCAAGAATATACATGTCCCACACAGACTAATAATTTGGTATGTTTTCAGACAGATTAAAAAATACTTGTTTACCTTTTATTTAATAGAGGCAAGAGAAAATGGATTAAAACGAAAAGTCACTCCATTTTACTAAAGAAATAGCAAACACGCTCTTTGAAGGGTATGCACAGGGGTGAGGATGCGTGTTGATGTGGGCAGGCATAGTTTTACGGACATGCCTTCTTGCGGGGGCGGGGGTGGTCTCAGCAGCCTGTGCAGAGTGACAGATCCACTAGGTCAGAGGAATATATCCACCTTCCGGCTACCTGCCTCTCAGGTAGTGACGCAGTCCTCACATGTGGGTTCTGGGTCTGTGATTTCTCCCTGTGCTAGAGCACGGAAGTCTGTAGAGTGCGTCTAGCATCCCACATAACCTAATGGCCTTCCTCTTTTATTTCTTGCTGCACACATTGGGACTGCATGGCCATGTGGCCCCATAGGATGTTGCCAGGGACTCCTAACAATTACTGAGTGAGCTATTTGGGGTTGGTCAGAGATCATCCTAAAGCAGGGTTGGGAGAGAAGAGACAAGCATTAAAGAAATGCGTTCTGTTACTCGCTCTGTCACCCTCTCCATTACTCCTGGGCTGGCAGAGTTGTCAGTTCTCAGCTAACAGATGTCATGGGCATTTGTGGAAGGATCGTGGGGAGCCTGGACTCATGCAAAGCCTAAACCTCCTTCTTTTGCTCTGGTCACCCCTGGTCTCTAGCAACACAATCACTTCTACCCTCGATGCCTTCTGCTGCACCAGCCTGACCTCAACCTGTATCCAGACAGCTCAGTACTCTGGAGGCAAGTCGACCGCAGGAGGTGTGTGGCTAAGGGCCAAACCATACAAGGGACTGTGGTGGCCCTCTGTGGGCGCATTTAGTGCTGCGTGTCATTCTCATTCCTTTGAATTGCAGTCTGTGGATAAGTATTACTCACTCACCTGATCAAGGAGCTCCTTGAAGGTAGAGTCTCTATTTCACTCACTTGTGTCCCCTGACGCATAATAGGTGTTCAATAAATAGTTGAGGAATAAATAAACTTCCTCCAGCTGGCTCTTGCTGGGCTTCACCAGATACTGGCAGCTGGTAGGAAGTCTTTTTATTAAAAAAAAAAAAACTACTGCTAGTAGTATTCCCTGTCATTTGGCTGGGCTGGGGTAGGTGGGTGGTACGGAGGCCACAGCCACGGAGTGTGCGTCCCGCACATGCAGCCAGACTTCTGAGACACTTATTTGAATTGATCAAAATTATATACCAGGATAGTTCTTCCCGTGAATTCACTTCACTGACGAAAGCAGAACTGATATTCTGAACGTTGCTGGCCAAATGTCTGTATGTTTCTGCAGTTCTTGTTCTCATTTATGTTTTCTTTTGCAATTTCCCGAGCCAGACAGCATCTTGGGAGGCATGTTAAAGGATCCAAAATATGGATATTAAAATAAATAATTAGCTCTCATTGCACCATGTGGATTATTGGGATTCTGAATCTCAGCTGACTGCCGATAATAGGCATCTCTTAAAAATATATGCATCACAGACGGGCTGGGCCCAGCAAGAAATATTTGCTTCAATTTACACTCAAGGGTGTGATTTACGTTTCTGGAATCAAGACCAATTTACATGTTGCCAGTTCTGTTAGTGTATTGCAGAAACCTGAGTTCACTGCTTCAGCAGTTCTGGGTTTTAATGACGTCCTAGGGCCAAGGTCAACAAACTATGGCCCACAGGTCACATCCAGCCCACCATCTGTTTTCATAAATAAGGTTGTGTTGGACACAGCCACACCCGTTCACTTAGATATTATCTCTGACGGCTTTCATGCTACGACCATAGGACTGGAGAGATGTGACAGAAAATGTATGGCCCGCAGGGCTGAAAATATTTACTGTCTGGCCCTTTACAGGGATATATGCTGCCTGCTATCCTAGCACATAGGATAAATGAGTTCTCCAGTGGCTGCCCTGTCTGGTGAACTCACCTCACTTGACATGGCAGGAACAGCGAAGCTTAAGAGATAAGTGGGGATAAGCAGGTAAATGGCAGAGGCAGCAGCTCTGAGGCTGGAAAACCCTCCATCAGGGAGGAATCTGAGGCATCTGAGGAACCAAGAGGAGGCCACCATGATCAGAGGTAAGAGAAAATCAGAGAGTTATTCATGGTCAGGCTGAAAAAGCCCTCCAAAGCCGTATCGCGCAAAGCCTTGTAAAGCCACGATCAAGTTTCTGGATGTTTGGCCATTTCAGATTTTCAGTACGCAGGGAACGCATTAAAAATTTAAAACCAAACCAAACAAAGCAACATAGGGGTGCTGTCTTTGCAACCGGGGGGTCATATCTTGTTATCTCCCCGAACTTGAGCACCATCACCTCTCCCGGCTTCAACGGGACCACTGACATTTGGGAATTCACCCAGTGAGTCTGGCGCATGTCCCCTTGGTATTCCCGACATGTAGCTGCACTCTGGCCCATGGTGGGAAAGCCCAGTGCAGGAATCGGGCCTTCTCCAAGGGCTGCCAAGCGCAGATCTGGCCATCGGCCTCTGGCCTCACTGGTTGTCTCCTGCCAGAGCTTCTGGGAACCTCGGAAGTGGTGCCGAGCCTGACGGCAGTGGTCCTAAGCTAGGAGAAGGCAGACACACAAAGGCTGGGTCCTGCTGTGCCAGGTCTCATGCTCTGAGCTGGCAGGATCTTCTGACTGAACACAAAAGAAGTCTTTCTTCCTGTGTCCATTTTCTAGGAATTCGGTCTGAACAGAGGCTACAAGGCAGGAAATAGTTGATGGCGAAGGTTTACAATGTGGGTTTTGGAGTTAGGGGATTTGAATTGCCAAGTTCAAACTTACAAGCTGTGTGACATTGAGCTGGTGGCTGACTTTCTCTGAGCCCGAGCCTCCTAATCTATAAAATGGGGATACTGACATTAACTTGAGAGAAGTGGGATCTTGCCGGAGATGGCACTTGCAAAATGAGTGCAGAGCTTGGCTTCAGAACCAGTGATTATTAATTAGGGATGATTTCACTGGGCTTTTGTTAGATCGTTTGCATCTCTCTCCTCCTCCTCCTCCTCCTCCTCCAAAAGGACACATATTACAAAGACTGTTCAGTTTGACTGGGCTGGCAGGGGAGCCGCATCACATGCTTGCCCTGCGCGGCCCAGGATTACATCAGAGACCTCATCCCTGCCTGTGCTCCCCCAGTGAGCCTCCGCACACCTTCAAACAAGGCCTCCGTCTGGCACAAAGACCAAGAAAAGGTTCCGGTCCCTTGAGGTTGGAGAAGAAAGCAACTGCAAAGAAACAAGCTATTAATATTAATGTTCCAGGAAGAGGAGAAGAGAGAAAGGACACAGGTGCCCAGAAAGAATGACTCCATATGGCTTTGATGTGTTCGTTTGCACAGGACGGGCGCGGCGCGGGGAATACAGAGTAGCGAGGAGGAGGGAAATGAAGAGGTGGAGATGGCCTGGCAGCCTCTGAGAAATTACGGGAGCTGTGGGGAGTAGATTTGTCTAGACAAAAAGTCAGCCAGCCACACTGCCATCTGCAATCATCAGAGAACAAGCCAGCAAGAGAAAGGGAAGCCCCCTGGCACCCCGGTTGTTCCAGCAATGGGGGTGGGGGGGCTCTTGTAAAGAGCTATTGCTGTGCGAAACCTTGGTGGGGGGGCGCACCTGGAATGACTGAGACCCCTCCCAAGGGGATCCTTTTTGTGGACCTCCAGACAAAGTTTTTTCAGCCTCTCCTTTGAGGTCCTGTTGTACATTTTAATGCCTTCCATGGACATATTGTCTGATGCATAAGAGTTCAGTCTTTGCAGGCTAACCTAGATTTAATACTTTTTTAAAGATATTTTATTTATTTATTTGAGAGAGAGAGGGGAAAGGCACAAGCTGGGGGAGGGGCAAGGGGAGAGGGAGAAGCAGACTCCCTGCTGAGCGCAGAGCCCTACACAGGGTCTCGATCCCAAGACCCTGAGATCATGACCTGAGCCGAAGGCAGACACTTAACCAACTGAGCCACCCAGGCGCCCCCGGTCTGACCTGGTTTTAAATTCTGTCTGTACCTCTGTCTGGCTAGTGTCATGTTGGGCATATTATTCCACTTCTGGGACCTTCTCTTTCCTCTTGTATAAGTAAATTTTATAAGTAAATTAAGTAGCAGTAAGCGAGGAAGTCTTTTATGTGCAAGACCTCTCACAACGGTGGCTGGGCTCATGAGTGTTAGAGCGCGTTCCCTTTCTTTTCCCCATGCCAGTGACCTCAGAGAGCAAGGTGGTGAAGGAACGACAGCAGATTGGAATACCTTGGGAGGATATGTCATAGCAGCACAGATGTCGCAGACTCTGCTGAAGGTAACAAACGTCCTCACAATGTTATAGGTAAAACCTCTTTATGTTGAGTCAACTGTGATCCTTTTGCACAAGTGAAAGTGGAGGATCCCCAGAAGTCAAGAAGATCTCTGATACATGAAGATCAAGCCCAGCATTAAATGAAAAGAACTTAGTAAAGGCAGAGAAAAGAAGAATTACGTGAGAGCTTAGATTATATCGGACTAAATGTTTCCATCATTTCCCCCATGATGAGGAACTGTGGGTGAGTAGCAGAAGCCCACCAAATGGTCTGTTGTACATCATAAAACTTTACTTAATTGTCCAGTAAACTCTATTTGCCACACTATACAGCAGCTTTAGTCCCATCCAAGTATTTCTTTTGGTCATGTTTAAAGTTTCATTTTAAGAATCCTTGATGTATTAAACCCAACATGGATGGAATCTACCTGAATATTGTTGTTAACATTCTGTTGCCCAGAGAAGAGCAAAACCTTATTAGGCAAATCCCCTCAAGAATGCTGCATGAGAGAAAGTAGCGCAAGTAATTTTGGCATGGAGAGGGCCCTTCTAAACAAGACAAAACCCCCAAAAGGTGTCAGAGAAAAGGTGTAAAAGACTAACAAAAAAATGGAATATCTCTGCTCAGGAAAAAAAGCATAACAAATGACAAATGAGGGACTGATTTCCTCAATAGGTAAAGAGCTATTACAAAGCAATAAGAGACCATTTGGCCAATAGGAACAGGAACAGGGAAAAACATGCACAGGGTGATTGATGAAATAAAGTTGGCTTATGAGCAAATGAAAAAAATGCTCAGCATCACTTATTATTAAAGCAATGAGGGGCGCCTGGGTGGCTCAGTCGTTAAGCATCTGCCTTCGGCTCAGGTCATGATCCCAGGGTCCTGGGATCGAGCCCCACGTCGGGCTCCCTGCTC